CTCAGTCTTCAGCAGTGACCTGGGGGCATGACAGCCTCTAGCTCAATCCTCTTCCCTAGGGAACAGCATCCAAATTCTTTTCTCCTTTTCTCTGCCCACCCCTTTTCCTTTCCTTTCTTTTAAAAACATCTTAGGTTTATCTATGTGAATGAATGTTATCCCATATGTCACAGAGGCCAAAAGAGTGTGTCAGATCCCTAGACTAGAATTATAGGCAGTTGTGAGTCGCTGTGTGGGTGCTGGGAACCAAATCTAAGTCCTTTGCAAGCACAGCAAGTTCTCTTACCACCACACCCCTTCCTTCCCTTTTTGTCAGTATTGGGTATGGAACTTAGGGTCTCATGTGTACTAGGCAAATGCCCTTCCACTAAATTACAAAGCCAGTTTTGTTGTTGTTGTTGTTTTTGGTTTTTGGTTTTTTGAGACAGGTTTTCTCTGTGTAGCTTTGGAGCCTATCCTAGCACTCGCTCTGGAGAACAGGCTGGCCTCGAACTCACAGAGATCCTCCTGCCTCTGCCTCCCCAGTGCTGGGATTAAAGGCGTGTGCCACCAACGCCTGGCAAGCCAGTTTTCTTTTTACTTTTTTTTCTCTTAAAGATTTTTTTCTGAGTCCTTTTGCTCCACAGGCACAGCACAGCTGCTGCACTGTGTCTGTGACATCAGGGTCAGACCCCAATGGCAGAGACCTCAAGGGCTAACCAAAGGGTTGCATAGTTAACATTTTAGCAAGTTACACTTTGGAGTTGGAGGTGTGTGGAAACTGGGTTTTCTGGGGGACATTTAGAAGGGTCAGGGAAATACAAGGAGCTATCCATTCATTTTCATTTTCCAGATCCAGAATCCAGGAAAAATAAGGCTCACCTCTTGGCCACATGTCTGGTCAGGACAGGTGCAGATATGACTTAAAGCCATGGGACTCAGGCGTGGCCTCTATAACCTCACCAGAGACCTACTGTACCACCCATACAGGCTTTGGGCAACTCCAGACTTCTCATCCTGGTAGCCCACATCCTAAATTATGAACCACATTTGGGTTTGACTGTCTTCCCAATATTGGTGAAGTGAGGACTGTGGTAGTGGCACTAGGGGTAGGGGTCCTCTAAGACTCAACATTCCCATCTACCCAACCGCACATGGCCTTAGATGTGATAATTATGTAGGAGGGGGAAACTGGCCTGTAGGTGCTGTGACATAAATTTGTTAATTCTTGATGGGAAAAAAAAAAAAAGCAGATTAGGGCTGGAGAGACAGCTCAGCGGAGTGCTTTTGGTTCTTATAGAAGACCCAAGATGGTGGCTCATAACTACCTTTCTCTCTACCTCCAGGGGATCCAATGCCTTTAGACTTTATACCAATAAACACATGTAAATTAAAAATAAATAATAAGCCAAGTGTTGGTGGCACACGCCTTTAGTTCCAGCACTTGGGAGGCAGAGGCAGGCGGATCTCTGAGTTCAAGGCCAGTCGGTCTACAAAGCTACACAGAGAAACCCTGTGTTGCCTCAGCCTCCCAAGTACTAGGATTATAAAATAAATAATAAATATTTTAAATGATTTATTTTTACACACATACACATATAATAAATACTAATATAAAGCTTTAAAATGATTTGGCTTACTTTTATTTATTTAAATATAAGTGAAATGTATGTGTGATGAAGAAAAGAGTGTCGAATCCCAGGCAGATCTCTGTGAGTTTGAGACCAGCCTGGTCTACACAGCAAGTTCCTGGACCGCCTCCAAAGCTGCAGAGAAACTTTGTCCTGAAAAAACAAAAACAAAACAAAAAAGATTGTCCAGTTCTCTGTAGCAGGACTTACAGGAAGATGTGAGCTGCCTGACATGGCTGCTGGGAACCCTGACTGGGTGTTCTGCAAGAGTAGCAAGTGTTCTAAACCACTGAGCTATCTCTCCAGCCCCTCTTTTTACTATTTTGTTTGTTTGGTTGGTTTTGGTTTTTTGAGACAGGATTTCCTTGTGTACCCCTGGCTGTCCTGGAACTCACTATGTAGAAAAGGCTGGCTGAAAACTTACAGAGCTCCACCTGCCTCTGCCTCCAATGTGCTGGGATTAAAGGCGTGTGCCACCATCCAGCTTTACTTTTTATTTCTAGACAAAGTTTTGCTCATGTGCCTTGGGAACTCATTGTGTAGATCGGCATGCCTCAAATTCTCAATCTTCCTGTTTCAGCCTCTTGAGCTATCATGAGAGGACCGATACCATATCCCCTTGACTTGTGATTCCGGAACACAGAAACAGAGTAAAGCTTATATTGTGCCAATCCAGGAGTCTGTAACAAAGTTTCTGTTGGGGATGATGAACATGTTTTGAAAATCAGCAGTAAAAATACAGAGTACAAACTTTGAGTTATAAGATGAACACAGCAGGCAGGTGGTGGGTGTGGGTTTTTTATTGTTGCAGTGGTGATGATTGTGTGTGTGTGTGTGTGTGTGTGTGTGTGTGTGTGTGTGTGGTGGTGGTTTTAATTAAGGTTAATTTTTTTTAAGTATGTGTAAGCCTGTCTGTCTGTGTTTATGTGCACTTGATTGCAGGTGCCCTCAGAGGTCAGAAGAAGGCATCAGATCTCCTAGAAATGGAATTACTGACAGTTGTGAGCCAACATGTGAGTGTTGGGAATTGAACCGGGTCCTTTGGAACAGCAGCCAGTGCTCTAACCACTGAGCAATCTCTCTAGCCTGGATGTGTTGAATATGATGATCATTACACAGTGTACCAAATCATCACTTTGTTGTATGTTAGGGTATGCACATGGAAGGATAGAGTGGAATTTTAGCTCAGAGATAGAGTGCTTACCTAGTATGCACAAAGCCATAGGTTTAACCCCTAGCACAGAAAGATAAGTAAAAATCCAGGATGAGAAGGAAGAGTGGTTTCATGAAGTAAACAGACTAAATGACACTGTGACAGGAAATCTGGCTGTAGGCACCTGTTGCACACACTATTTGACCACAAGACCTTAGGTAACAGCTCCCCTGGGGCTTAGCTCTCAGCCTCTTCTGTGGACGAAATGCCTGCTGTCCACCCAGGACATCCTGAAGCTCAAAGGCATCAATGTCTGGAGCTTGGTCTGCTGAGCACTCAGCCAGTGTTATTTACCTCCTACCCCCAACACAGAGGCCGGAGGTAAAAACCTGGCACAAAGTACCAGATTACTGTCATTTTTTCTTCTTCTGATGGTTGAAGAGTCCACCTTAAGTCTTTGCTATCTTTTAAACTACAACCTCCTAATATGAGGATGGGAGAAGAAACCCAAGGGGACCTTTTCAGTCTCAGATTTCTCTCAGAACTGAAGGCTGCTGTGATTCTTGATGGGGCTTCTAGGGAGGGAACAGTTAAGAGTTCAGAGGCGCTGGGTGGTGGTGGTGCACACCTTTAATCCCGGCACTTGGGAGGCAGAGGCAGTTGGATCTCTGTGAGTTTGAGGCCAGCCTGGTCTACAGAGGGAGTGTCAGGAATAGGCTCTAAAGCTACACAGAGAAACCCTGTCTCAGAAAAAAAAAAACAAAACAAAAAGCACAACCACATAGAACACACAATACAAAATGCAGCAGGGCCCACGCCTTTGATCCCAGCACTCAGTAAGTAGAGGCAGGTAGATCACTGAGTTCAAGGCCAGCCTGTTCTACAGAGTGAGTTCCAGAACAGCCAGGGACACACAGAGAAATCCTGTCTTAAAAAAAAAAAAAAAAAACAAAAACAGATTCCACAGAAAAAAAGGGCGGGGCCCCCACAGCCCCCACTTTTAAAGATGTCCTGGGTCTGTGCCCTCTCCCCCCACTCCCAATACCCTTCTCCCCTCTGCTCATACCTTACATTGTTGCCTTTCCCATCCTCCTCCTGGGAGACTTATTTCTGTCTCTTTTTATCCAATGCAGCGGAAATGAATCATCTCTGAGTTCGCTTAGTAAATAGTTTGATGCCTCCTGACCCCAGCTGTCCCATTTACTGGTTCCTTTATGTATGCTCCTGGGATATTCACCCCCAACCCCACAATATAGTCAAGACCTCTACAGACTGGCTCTTTCTGGAATGTGCTTCTTCTCCCGGTCTGGTGGCGTGACCTCCTTCCTCCACCGTGGGAATGATGAGAAATGAAGTCTAGCCTTCCAGATGAGTCCCATCAGCTGATCAAGAGATAGGAGAAGCAAGGGAAGCTCTGGGTTCAGAGAGCTTTGTGTATCTCAGCATTCCTCAAAATCCTTGTCTCACAGATGAGACCGAGGTTAGGAAAAGGATGGAACAGACTTCCTTCACAAACAGGAAAAGATGGAGTCAGAGCCAATATTCTTATCTTGAATTTGTGAAATCCTAGATTCATCCCACTATATCATGCTATTGTATGCGTGTGCATGTGTGTTGAATAGAAATCCAACATCTCTGGCATTAAGCTTTATATGTGTCATGATGAATGGCAGGAGTCCAGTGAGTCATTGGAGATGGTGTCAAAGAAAGAAATGTAGGGAAATAGGTTCAAAACCCCCCAAGCCCTGCCCACCCCATGATGATGGAATTTCACAGGCTCCAGCTCTGTCCGGGTTGGTCTGCTTCCTGGTGAATGGATAGAGGCTGTTTCCCAGAACAGAATATTTGCTTCCTTGAATAGAATATTGACACTGAACACTATCGAATCCATAGGGATAGAAATTAACACAGGTATCTAAGCTACTATAATGTGACTTGGATCACAGATGTAGTCAGAGATACAGAGGATAGATTACCCTATTAAAGGATTGTAACAGGACCGACGGAGTGCTGGAGACCAGGGTTCATGGAGGGTGTCCTGAGGAGGGAGCAATTTGCACCTAGCTGTCTCTAGACAGATGTAAAACCCGCAGAACTCTTTAACACAAATTAGAGCATGTTCAGTGTTTCCAAGGAGCCCTGAAGTGCAGACACATGTCTCTCTTTTCCTGAAGAGACATGAATAAATGTCTCTTCATCCTATGTAGGGCACCAATGATAGGCTAAAGAAATTGTACCCAAGCCTAGCTTGACAAACCAATGAGTTTATTAAGGCTACTTACAGGAGCATGGGTGACTCAAAAGAAGCAGCATTGCCAAAAAGTCCACCCAGCAGGATTCACATTTCCATTCACAAAAGCTGTTTAGTTGGATTTCCCTGTTCAATTTGTAGGCAGCCCCAGCAAAGTGGCTTCTCTCCAACCTTGTGAATTTTCTATTTTTTGAACTCCCTGAGTCTTTTTATTTGTTTGTTTGTTTGTTTTTGTTTTTTCGAGGCAGGGTTTCTCTGTGGCTTTGGAGGCTGTCCTGGAACTAGCTTTTGTAGACCAGGCTGGTCTGGAACTCACAGAGATCTGCCTGCCTCTGCCTCCCTGGGACTGAAGGCTTGCGCCACCACTGCCCGGCCTCCCTGAGTGTTATGAGCCACACCCCTCCTCACAGAGCAGAATATTTCAATGCTGAGGAAACAGCTACACTGCCCTTCTTTTTTGTTAATTAATTAACTACTTATTTTATTTCATGTGTACTCGTGTTTTGCCTACATATTTGTTTGTGTGTGAAAGTGTCTGATCCCCTAGAGTTACTGGCGGTTATGAGCTGCCCTGTGGGTGCTGGGTTTGAACCGAGGACCTCTGGAAGAAGAGCCAGAACTCTTTTATATTTTATCTATTTATTTAATTTTTTGAGCCAGAACTCTTAACCGCTGAGCCATCTCTCCAGCCCCTATACTGCCCTTATATGCCTCTTTTTCAGATGTGGAAACTGAGGCCTAGAGAGTGAATAAACCACTTAGCAAGTAGCCAGTCAGGATTATATCTGGAGCATGCCCCTCCCCTCAGGTTGTGGAACTGGACTGCCGGCCTTG